GGCCTCTGTGTACCGCTGCCACTCTCCGGTTCTCCTGGATGTGTTGAATAAACACCGAGCCTGGGTCCGGAGGCGTGCCAGCTTTGCATTCCACCATAGGGCCCCACTCGAGCGTTCTTTCGAATCCATGTGGCAGTTAGAGTCAAAAGCCTCTATTACTGCCTGGTTCACGAGCCCTGCTTTCTCTTCCAGTTCTAGGTGATTTCCTATTCTTCCTGGGTTGATTGCTTTGAGATTTTCCTCCAGATTGACTCTGTATAATTCCCAGTTTGTTCTCCTAGGATTTCTCCTGAGTTTTGCTTTGAAGGTGCTTATTTCTAGGCTAAACTCTATGATCCTGTGATCAGACGGGGAGGGTTCAGCCGAGACCCTCCTGTTTTTCACGTAGTTCTTTATTTCAGAACTACCAAATGTAATGTCTAATACTTCCTCCCTAGCCCTTGTTACAAAAGTGGGGTATTCCCTATATTGTAAATATCAAAGTTCATTTCAAGTAAGTATTCAAAAAGGTACTCACCTCTGGTGTTGGTGTTTGAGCTACCCCAGAAGATGTGGTGTGCATTCGCGTCGCCTTCCACAAGGAGTGGGATGTTTTTCCCCCTACAGTGGTGCGCAAGCTCCTGCAGTTCCGCCGGGGGCGTGCGTGCCCCATCCCCAGCGAAGTATGCGGATGCTATGACAATGGTTCGCTGTCTGCCTTGGTGGTGGAAATTCACCATAATCGGCACTAGGTCCTTTGTCATGAATTCTGAAACACAAATATAATTAATATGTCTTTTAATTACTATGCAGGCTCTAGGCATTTCGTGCCTGTCGTCCCATATTACCTTTGAGCTTTTGGTTGTCAGTCCTTTTACCTGTCCCCTGTAAACCCATGATTCTTGGATCAGCGCAAGATCCACACGCCCTTGCCCAACCAACCTCGCAATCACAGCAGAGGATCCTCTGGCGTGATGTAGGTTGACTTGGGCTACCCTGGTGGCTATGTTGTCCATCAGGTTAGTTACTAGGACTGAGGTGAGGTGTCGCTGCCCTCACCTTGACGATCTCTGTCTCGTCCCTCAGTAACTCTTCCTCTTCTTCCCTTTGGGGGAACTAGTGTTCCCGGAGGTTGGGGTTGGCTCTTCCTGAAGGGATGGTGGATCTGTTTCCATCCTTTCCCTGGCTTGGTTTGCTTTTCGCCTTTCTTCAGGCCATGCACCATGACGCGCCCAAACCTGTAGTGCATGGAGTGGTTTTGCGCCACGATCGCTTCGCTCGACTTGGTGTCTATGCCCAAGGTTAGCAGCTGACCATGCGATTGCTCCTTCGAACTAATCACCTTCCACGCCTCTGTCCTGAGGTCGGCATTTTGGGTTTTTAGGAGCTTGAGGAGTTTCTCAGCTTCTTCCCCTTCGCTCCTGGGAAGGAAGACCGTTATGGTGTGTGCTTTCGGGATGTTTTCTCCCGTGCACATAATCAAATCCGGCCCCTTCCATTCTTTCAGCCGGGGTAACGTTTTCCTCAGCCAGATGACTGTTTGCTCATTTTCACAGTCTACCATTATCAGTCCTGATCTGAAATGGATTCCTGCAAACTTCAGGTTAACTACCGTGCTGGTGAACATTTCATCAACCAGAGCACTCTCTAGGTGACTGTCAGCTGTTCCGTGGTTAGCGTGACCTCGGGGTATTCCCTCGGAACGATTCCCATTCGGACGCTTTTTACCGCCGCCGCGAAGCTGGTGCTAGGCCCTGCTGCCGTTGCTGTTGGTTTAGAGGGGTATATTTTCCTCTTCTCGCTGCTTGGTCCTTGAAGGGGTGTGAAGTTCTCACTTCCCCTCTTGACCTCTTTGCTGTCCTCCACCTTGGACGAGGATGTAGAATCAGGAGTCAGCGTTTGTTGCTTTAGCCTCTCTTCTTTCTTCTTGTCTACCCTTTCCCTGGCTGAATCAGGTGTCATGCCCTGTGCCAGGTACCTGAGGTACTTCTTAGCGCCTGCCCCGCTCAGGCCCCTCCTTCTCGGGTCGTCCAGACCTCCTGGTTCTCCTTGTGCGGGGAGGTCTTCGGCAGAACTCCGGTGTTTTCCCGAACTACTGCCGCCCTCCCTCTGCGTTCTGTCTGAGGTGTCTTCCCTCTTCTTACTTGCGGTTCTAGCCCGAGAATTTTCAGCAGTGTTTACCTGCCTATTTTTATTGATTTTCTTACCCATAAGATTCTCACGAGTAGCTAGGGAAGTAAACGGTCCGCTCCTATAGGATATAGGAGTAAGGGGTAGTTACGATGGGGTTCCCTCCTGTGCCCCCTGCGGAATATTTAGTATTAAGCCAATTGAATAAGTTATAGGATTGAAAGTATCATTGTAAACATGCAATTGCTCAAATAAATTAGTTATTTATCACTGTTTTGAAGTATGTACCTCCTAGTGCCATTATTCTGAAAATATCTAACACTATTTTAAGATTAATCCATCAGTTATAAATAAGTAGGTAGGTACTTGACTAGTGCTCAATGGCTATTATTGTCGTTGTGCTCCTGCATCGACAAATCACACAATCATGATCAGTATAATGGAACCTCACCAGACTTCTTTTGCTTTGAGAGTAATAGTGGAATCGGTCTGTCTGTTGCTCTATACCTACACTCATCTTGCTGTGTGTGGTTACGTGCTTTTTCTTCCAAATCATAATTACCATTAAACTTACTTTTGTTGTCTATCTTTTAAATCCGCTGGTAAATTTCTGTAGCTGGTGATATCAATTCCCACGTATTCAAATATTTCGCCTTTCACCTCCAATTTTACACCTGTGAGGTTTCTTACTGATCACGATACTCATCATTCATATGCTAGGTAGGTACCTATAGGTACTTTTCTTTTTGGACATGATGTTTAAAGGAGACCTTAGTACAAACATGTTGAAATTTCAAATTTTCACATGTTGCCTTTAAATGAACATTTAATTCATTATATTATATAGGAACTCTGAACTATTGAAAGATTTGAAGCCAAAGTCATTGAAAAAAAGCCGGAGAAAGATGATCACTTAATGACAGAGAAAGACAAATATACAATTATTATGATGCTCCCAATGTAGCTTTTTTGCCGTGGCGCCATCTACTTGAAATTGCTTGAACTGTTTTCACCTCCAAAATTCGTTTCAAGGTCATCTCAAAAAATCCGCAATAATTTCGAAAATCCTTTGGCATAAACATTATTTGATATATTATCTACAATCTCTACAATTAGCTTTTTTTAGTTTTTCGTGGTTATAAATAAAATATGCTTTTCACGGATCCAAGCTTGATAAACATGCAAATATGCAACCACCAACACATTTAATTGTTTTGGTGGTTGCGAACATGATTTTTGAATTTAAAAAAAAAGGCTGAATATCGAAAAACCAAAATAAGGAATTGTAGATAATCGATCAAATAATATTTATGCCAAATTTGAGCCAATTCTGATGTGCCGTTTTTTTAAAGACCTTAAAACAAGTTTCGAAAAATCAACCAATCACAGTTTAAACATGGCGGCCATTAACGCGGCCTTAACTCTGCAAGTGCTACATCTGAGTTTTTTGGGTCAAAAATCGATGTTTTTACACTTTCTTGGCTCAATTTTGATATTGGGAGATCCGAGAATAAAAATTGTATGCTTTCTAGTTCAAATTTCAGGTCTATTGAAGCAGGGATAGATATTTTCACGATTTCTCGATTGATATTTAGCTCTACAAGGGTAATTTTACTCTTTAAATGGTTAAAAATAAGAGTTTTTTCACGTTTTGAGCTCAATATTTATATTACAAACGCCGGGCATAAAATTTTTATCTGAAAGTTTCTTGGGTCTTGGATTCATTCATTGTTTGTTCTTTGTAGGGCTTGATAAAGTCGTAACCCGGGAGTACACGCGTGTCGGTCAAAAGGACCGAACATTGATAAAATCAGTAATTACGCCACTGGTACAAGGGTGGCAGTTTTGTCCATCCAAGAATGCCTGTTGCAGGCTTTCCACTACCCATTGACCCAAAAATATTTTGGTTTTTGGTTGAAGTATAGTTCGTTGTTTTCATAATAGGTGCTTTTGACCAGGCGCATGAACCTGAGTATCTAAAATATTTGTGTTCAAAATTGGCATTTTCTGATATTGGGAGTACTTTTGGCTGTCGATAATACGGTAACTGTACTGCATAATATAATTCCCTTTGTAATGATTATGAATTCTAGGAATTATTGTGCTTGTACACTTTTTTCGCGGAGACGATCCCAAACGTATCCTGAACGCTAAGGCATGACTTACGCAGATAATATTTGAAAGTTTCATGTCTCTATTGATTAGTAAACCTGCCTAGGTCATGCCTTAGCGTTCAGGATACTTTTGGGATCGTCTCCGCGAAAAAAGCTAATAATTCATATAAACTTTTGGGCAGTCGGTCGATTTGACCGAACTCGTGTAATGACGTAAGTTTTTTGGCGCGTGGGACTACAATCAATCAATAAAATTTTTATGTTTTTAAGTTCATATTTCAGCTCTATTTAAGTCGGGAAAGAGATTTTCACGATTTCCCGAAGGATTTTCAGCTCTATAAGGGTCACTTTACGCTTTAAATGGTTAAAAATTAAAGTTCTTACTTTTTCCGATTGATTTTTAGCTCTACAAGGGTCACTGTTTTTGTTTTACACCGTGAATGGAATCAAACTATGATTTTCCAAAAGCTTTTAGAAATATATATCTTCAAAGTTAATAGTACCTACCTTAGTTCAAAAATGTCGGAATTTCAAATTTTTTCATGTTGAGCTTTTAAATAATCATTCATTGTGACCCCTTTAATTCTATAGCGTGAATCATTGTGAGATTTGAAAAATTCCCTTCTCATTCCTTAGCGGGATTTTACCTTTGGAACTATAACTCTATTAGCTGATATTTTCAGGTTTTTTCTTTTTCACTGAAATAAGTTCTCCGAACATTTTGGATTCCTATCTATCTAAGTCCGCTAAAACTGAAACCAACTGCACTGCTCAAACTGCTTGTCTTTCAATTTATTTAAGTAATACAGATATTTATTAACTATTTATATATATAATTATTTGATACAAATTAATCAACTGACTAGTGCATTTGTTTAGGTACATTCAATTAAAAAAAAAGTATATGTTACATGATAAAAGCTTTAAAATAGCAAACCATCGGTATAATACATTAATACAAAGCAAAATGAAAATATTAAAGTGATGATAAACAGAGATCAGAAGATACCTACTTACAAAAAAAATATTGAATAAGTGTTAAAAAAAGTTGAGAGCAAGAGAAATACGGGATTCTATGTTTTTATGCTTTCCTACCTTGTCGCTACTAATTCTAGAATATACCTTATCTCTAATCTCAAAAGCACAGGAACCTTTCAAAAACGTATACGATCGAACATCGAACATCGAAACGTTTCAGAAACGTCCGCTGCGCTGAAGTAACTGAGAACGTCCTAAAGTGCAAATCTCACAACTTTCAACGTTAAGTGAATAATCGAAATGCTCGTTTTAGAAACGTGTTGAAACAAACTAAAACTTATTTAAAAACTTTATAGCCAGTTGATGGAATACGCATTATGTAGGTACGTTGATGATGGTCTACATTGAGAAAAACTTTTTTACACAGAATTTCTGATATTATTTAGTCATTCGTATACAAGCGACCCATGCATAAATCCACAGTTGTGGATACAGTGTGCATATTACATGAAGATAGTGCCGCAGTAGTTGTAGACAAAGGATGAATAATATAAAGAAATAACAGAAAACAGAATGAGTAGGTATTCATTGAAGCTACAAAAACGTTAAGAGCAATACAAGATCTGAAAAAGCACTCAAATTTCTCCTACTCTCTACCCAAATATCTTCATTAAAATAGAGTTTGCACTAACGTCTCAAAGTCCCAAATCTACATGGTCCTTAATACATTAATTATCACTACCAACAACCCCAAAATTCCACTAATCTCACTCCTAAAACCTGAATTTTGCGGTTTCTTCAAACCCAACTGGTTGGGTTCATCTACTTCGTTAGTTAACTGATTCCCGGCAGCAGGATACCAAGTTTCTGAAGTAGAAGGGTTCCAAAACGGTGTACTAGAATAGTCATATCGATTCGTGGTAGTTGATGGAGTGTTTTCTGTTGGTGATGATCTATATGAAGTAGGAGGATTTTTACCAGAATTTCTGTTATTAATATTGTTTAGTCGATTGTAAAGGTCCCATGAAGCCATAGTTTCTTTATTATACTGTGGAGTACTTGATTGTACTGAAGCTTCAGTCGTTGTAGAAGAAGGATCAATAGGCCAGCTGTAAGATCTTCCATATGAACCGGGTCGAGTACGGGTTCCTAAGTTTTGAGTAGGAAATATGGAATTATCTGCTTCAGCTCTTGATGGAGATCCACTGGAAGATATTGCCCAGCTACTAGGCGTTGATGAAGCTACTTTTGGAAATCTTTCTTGTTGTTGAGTACTCCAAGGATACACTTCACTCGAAGCCGTGTTTATAACTGAAAAAGGATCTGATCTGTCGGAGTATGATGGTAAGGAGTCGTGGGGTGAAGTGCAATCGGCAGAATTTGGACTAAATATTTAAAAAAATTATTAGTAAGTTATAGATAAGAGTGTTAGTGACTTACATATTATTGATGCATTGTTCCTGCATGAACCTCAAAGCTTTGTCGATGATTTGCGAGGCAAATCTGGCAGCTGGTCCATCTGAAATGCCTCGGTCGCATAGTCTTCTGGTTTCTTTTAGGACGCATTGCTTGAATCTTTCATGGGAGCTATAAAAAGGTTTTCAACGTTTAAGTATTATTAATTGTCGAAATAAATCCTCACCAGCAAAGGGTGGCTTTTGATATAACATCTCCTTGCTCGGCTTGATCCACTAGAAGACTGTAATGTGGCCCACAATGGATTTTTTCAATTATCGTACTTTTTATACAAGGAGCGTATTGGAGGTATTCTAAAAATTAACAATTTATATTTACATTTTTTTGGTTCAAATCTTATGTTGAAATAAATCCCAGGTTATAAAAAATGTAAAAAAAATCGGTTTTTGTTTTGTGTTGAATTGTTGAGATTAAACTCAACCTCCGACATCAGAACAGTCAGAACTGGATCTCGAATTAGGTTATTCTTACCTTTTCTGTAGTTTGGTTGCATACACATCTGATGAACACTCTCAATAGGACTCTCCACAGCTTTATTAAATTGTTTCCTTTGTTGATCGGTGAAACAGTTTTCTGTGTAGGCTTTTAAACAGTCCACAAACGTGCTCCATGCACGACAAACAAGGTCGATGTCTTTGAGATTGTCTGGAAAAACTAGATGGGCTTCTCTGACTAAAGGATCGGCAATTTTTATGCAGCGATCATATTCGTTTTTTGAACAGTCCCTTTGTGCTGATGTTGAAGTAAGTGCTAAGAACAGTATCACTGAGATTTTCCACCACATTTCCTGTAACAATAAAAATATCCGATAAGACTAGACCATAACTTCTCCTTAATCGAAAGATAGAACTTTCAAAAATATGAACTGCGATCCAGATACACAATTGTTAGTCACCGAAAATTTGTTTGGTTTCAATAGATCCTCAAAATTGTTCATATACATTCTTTTACAAAAGCAATCCTTTTTGTTTATTATCCAAGGTCCGAATCTTTTTAAGTTCGTTTTACTTTATGGTGATTTTTCCAGACTTGCACGCAACTTTTTTTTCTTTCATTTAATTCTTGGAAATAAAATTTTGCTGGCCATGACTTCATTATGAAAGGAATTTCCTAATAAAGGATTTCGCAGTAAAATTAGGATATTTTTAGTTTTATTGATCATCATTGCGAAGAAACCCAACATAACGTCAGACTTATCTATACGCGAGCCTCATGAAAGAATAATTAACAAACATCATGAGAATAAATTTATTTATTTATTTACGTATAAAAAGATACATACATTTGAAGCGGCAATAATCTAACCTAAAACAATTCTCTTGTTCTGCGTCTCAAATTTATCTTGAGATACACTAGAGAAGTCAAGTCAAGAACTTATTTACATTTGGCAGATATTCTATTAACAGGACTGAATAGTATGTACCAAGTTCGATATTAAGGAATATGCAGTAAAAATTTACCACAGATTCACTTCGTGTCCGACAACTTTGAGTGTACACCTTTTCCATGTGTAATGTGTAATTGCGAATATATCACTTAATTTTAGGAATGGTAAAATATTATTGCGAATAATTCAAATGTATTTGAGAATAGTCACTTGATATTGCGAATATCTTAAATGTAATTGAGAAAAGTTAAATATAATTGCGAACACATCAAATGTAATTGAGAATAGTTATGTGTAATTGCGAATATATCATATGTAATTAGGGATAATCGAATAAAATTAGTAATAAATCAGATGTAATTGAGCCTTTTAATTTTTCAATCAACATCTGTATGTTGTTGCTAAAATGTCTGTTGTTGAAGAAAGCTTTTGTTTACATACATAAAGGTAGTTTTGTGTCAAAGAAGGGCGATTTTTGATATATTCCAAATTTCATTTGATTATCCCCAATTGCATCCGATATATTTCCATTTACACTTAACTTTTCTCAATTATATTTGATATATTCGCAATCACATTTAGCTTTTCTCAATTACTATTCAATATAACCGCTATTCGCAAAATCTATTGACTTCGCAATATAAATTGCTATATTCGCAATTACATGTGGAAAAGGTGTAGTGATGTGTAAAGAATTTTGATGGGGCATATACTTTTAAAGTCCCTAGTACTTAGTTCTCGTAATGAAACCCAACATTATATTAGCCCTGCTAATTACCACTGGGGTTGTGGGGTTGTATGGGGTTGTGCTGTAGAGGTAGTACCTTTCGTCAAGGACGGTCGCACTCAAAGACATTGTCAGTGAGTGGTCGGCGATGACTGGTCCTCACAGGACGCCCAATCCTCAATTATGGCTCCACGTGCTACACCCCGGGCAACTGTATCGACCTGCAGGCAAAACTAATTTGAGGATAGCCAGATATGGTGAATACCGATAGTGTTTGATCCAGACTGGACGGCTGTCAACAGCGTCTGTACCCAAAATGAGCGGCTGAATCCTAATTCACCAACCCGCTTGGCAAGCGTGGTGTTTTAAATGCCAAAAACCCCCCTTATATTAAATGAGTAGGAGCAAAAACCAAAGGCCCTCAGTCCCCAGCAGCCGGAAAGTTCCCTACCACGGCAGCTGTAGCCAGAATGAAATGGCGGAGGGCGCGAAGAATAACTGAAAGAGATCAGGCTGCCACACAAAGATGAACATTGCTACGTACAATATTAGATCAATGGCGACAGAAGACAGAACTGAAGAACTGGAAGCGGAACTAGAAAAAATCAAATGGGACGTGATTGGCATAAGTGAGACAAGGAAAAGAGGCGAAGGCTACACCAAGCTCAAATCAGGTCATAAGCTACAAAAGACACGAAAACTCCAGTCTTAGTGGCGTAGGCATACTGATACACAGGAGACTAACAGACAACGTAAAAATGCTTAAAGGTATATCCGAACGAAATATATACATAACGTTACAAATAAACAAACTGGAAACACTCAAGATAATTCAGGCATATGCTCCCACAAGCACCGCCGATGACGAAGACGTCAGCAAATTCTACGAGGATATCTCGAAAGGAATGAGCAGAAATAAAACATCACAAGTTTTAGTGATCGGCGACTTCAACTGCAAGATTGGAGGCCAAGCAGACCCAGAGGAAAAATATGTAGGCAAACACGGGGTAGGCAAAAGAAATCCCAGAGGCTCAATGATGGCTGACTTTCTAGAAGAAGAACATCTCTACAACGTGAACACCTATTTCAAAAAAAAAAAAATCGCAACCGCAAATGGACTTGGGCAAGCGCAGACGGAAGAACTTTCAACCAAATCGACTATATTCTAACGAAGAACATCCAAATAGTACAAAACGTCGAGGTATTGAACAGATTTAATACTGGAAGTGACCATCGTCTGGTGAGGGCAAGAATAAGCATAAACCAAAAACTAGAGCGTTGCAGAAAAATCAAAAAGTCGATACACAAACAGATTGACAGAGAGAAACTCCAACACGACCCAAATAAATTCCAAATATACCTGGGAAACAGATTCAAAGAGCAGAGGCCGAGTACCCATGGCATAAACGAAGCAAACAAAACGATCACTAGAACCCTAAACCAAGCAGCAGAAGCGTACACAGAAACAAAAACTAAAAAGCAAAATAAACTAAGCGCGCAAACACTAAACATGCTAGATAAAAGACGACAACTTATAACAAATAACAAAAGATCATCAGCAGAATACGCCGAAACAAATAAAATCGCCAGAAAGATGGCAAAGGAGAACATCAGAAAACACAATGAGAAAATCGCGCAGAAAGTACTGGAACAACACAAAGGGACGAAAGTGTTCAGAAGACTAACGACGAACACAAAGAAAGAAATTGTCAGGTTCAAATACAAAACAGGACAAAGAATCGAGGGAAGAGCCAAAAGAGCAGGCTGGGTTTAGGAAGGGTTACAGTACTACAGAATACCTGCAAACGATGAGAACACTAATCGAGAAGACGGTGGAATACAATATACCTTTTTGGCTACCATTCATTGATTTTAGAAAGGCTTTCGACACGGTGGAAATATGGGCACTACAGCAAGCCCTGAAACGCGCCAGAATAGACCACAGATATGCAAACCTAATCAACAACATTTACCGTAACGCGACTCTACAAATCCAGCTACACGAAAAGTTCGACAAAGTTGCAATTAAAAGGGGAGTGCGCCAAGGAGACCCTATGTCACCTAAGCTCTTCACACTACTTCTGGAAGACGCACTAAAAACAATCGACCTCCAAAACAGAGGCATTAATATCAATGGGGAAAAACTCAACCACCTCATGTTTGCCGACGACATAGTAGTGATAGCCGGAAGTAGAGAAGAACTGCCCACACTTATCAACGACATCTATAGGGCCACGAAGCGCATAGGCCTACAAATCAACTTTGACAGAACGAAGTACATGACATCAAACGTAGAGGACAAACGAGAAATTACCCTAGGAGACAACAGAATCGAAAAAGTAACTACATACAAATACCTAGGACAAACACTAACTACTGGCAAGGCTAACCAAGAACTTGAAATAAACGAGAGAATACGGCAAACCTGGGCGGCATATGCCAAAATAAAAGACATCTTGAATATGGACATACCTCTAAACCTCAAAACCGAATTATACAATATATATAGTGTATCCTACCAGTAACGACTTACGGGTCACAAACTTGGACCTTTACGAAAGCTATACTTGACAAACTTAAAGTAAACCAGAGAGCTATTGAGAGGAGAATACTTGAGAATGAATGGATTAGGAGAAAAACAAAGGTGCACGATGTCGTACAATACGCCGCCGCTCTGAAATGGGACTAGGCAGGACACGTCGCAAAAGACCAGGATAAGTGGAGTGGTAAACTAATTCGATGGAGACCATGGAGCAACAGAAAGAGCACAGGAAGACCGCAAATGAGATGGAGCGATGATTTGAAACGAGCGGCAGGACTGAACTCGTACCAGGTGGCACAAACCCGCGACAACTGGCAAAATAAGAGGGAAGCTTATACCCAAAGGGTAGAAAACAGCTGAATAAAAAAAAAAATACCACTTCAAAATGCTCGGTGAACCCAGTACCTAGACACCAAGATTTTTAATGACAGAATCTTCAGACAAGCTAAGAGTAATTGAGCAATACTGAAATTGAACCTTACGAGTGAGTGTACTGAATCTGATACAACACTTATCAATGGCCGCGTTCACCAGACACAAACGTTGGTAAACGCTTTACGATTGTTCTGCTTAGCCAATGTTGAGCCATATGTCATTAAGCTGACACCAATCATAAACAATGGTATGACCGTTTTATAGAATAAATAGGTATTTTATGAGCTGACGTCACTTGACGATACAATTCCAAGTCATCAGCAAAGAGTAAAACATTTTCAGGAGAGCAACAATCCTAAATCATTCATAAATAAGCTGAATAAAAGTGCACCCAAGTGAGAGTCTTGGGTCTTGGGGTAGCTCAAAGGTTATACGGAAATAGAAGAAGTTATCTTTCATCATCGATCTTGAGTTGTTGCATTCTGTTAGTAAGGTAAGATTTCATCCATGAAAGTAAAGGTTCAAGAATGGCATGAGTTGAACTTTGAAAGGATGTTATGGTTTACCTTATCAAAAATTTCTGCATTATTATCAAATGACGAACTTATGAAATTTGTAAAGAGGTATAGTGAGGAAAACCACCTATTTAACATATTATTTCTTCAAATGTTAACTTTTAAAAAAACGTTTACTGAATAAAAATAAATGTTGCAACCATGTAATACGCCGTCAAGTAGGGGCGAACCTAAAGGCACC